CCACGCTAAAAACTGACCACAATCATACATAGCAAGGCCACGCTAAAAACTGACCACAAACATACAGAGCAAGGCCACGCTAAAAACTGACTACAATCACACATAGCAAGGTCATGCTAAAAACTGACCAGAAACAGAATTAGCTGACCGCATGTAACATTAATAATAATCATATTAAAATTTCTTCTGAAACATTTGCATTAATTCAACGTAACTCTAATTATAATTTCAATGGTGTTGTTTTACCTTGTACCAGGACAGAATAGCTTAAATTGTGGCCTTTCATATCACCCAGAATGTTTTTACAAACAGTCCCTCTCTCATACACACACAGGCATTATAAACCTCATCAGATGTTCTTTCATTCACCAGTTTCACTTTCAGGTGAGATGCCATCGTCAGATTATGAAACTGAAAACCATGAATAAAATCCAGTCATTGCCACTGTCATTCCAGTTACAATGTGTCGACCACAATAAGGTGTTGGTAAGCCTTTCCCCCTCTCAGTCAATCCATCAATCCATCCATCAACACCAAGCATCATGGTGTAAAAATGTGCTGTGAGTTGGAAAGTCATAGTGGCTGCCCCCCAGCACTACCCAGCACCCAGGCCTGTGGAGTACTATGACAGTGTATCTGCCTGATACTCATTGAAAAACTGCATTGAGTTCCCGGCAGTGTGCCCCAGCCCATGCTCTCCTCCCAAACTAAACACACAGCACAGTGTTAACAAGAACAAGAGACACCAGGCTGCCAACGAGCACTCAGACAGCCATGACATTTCTGTCAGGCCCATCTGGTCGATTTTACCGCGGTATAATATAACTTATTTCTTACTGCTGCATCGTGCATGTGTTGAATTCCATGGGCTTTAGGTCATCCGTGCCACTGGTATCAAACTCAAGGCCAGAGGGCCGAAAATGGACTCATTACTTTCAGTCTGCATAAACTTACGAAAAATAACATATGGGCTGTAATCATGCCCACAACAGAATTCTGAAATACGAACTAATGGATTTAAAAAATGCTGCACAATTGTAAAAGTAAAAAGCCCTGCTATTCTTCATGTTTCCACTGGGAGGGTTCTGGAGTGCTGAAGGATGA